CGCTAAATAATGGTGTTTTTCTTATGAAAAACAAATCTAAATAAAGTCACGGCATGATTGCTGAATTTTAAAAAAAAAAAACTAAGCTAGCTACATAAATATTCTTTCTTTACAATTCCAAACTCACTCAGCTACCAAATAGTACTCAGGTATGATCTAACCACAATAGTCAAATTTTTCTCCTGAGAGAATAGTTTGCCAAAGCAAAGTCATATTCAATTGATCAACAGAAGGTTACTATATACTGTTCTTATCAAGATTACTTTATTCTCTAACCTTCTTCTCTTAGCTTCCCAAGCTGAAGGATTTGTATTCTAACTAACTAATGATAAAAACAAATAACAAGAAAAATAAAAGGGGAGATAACAAAATATAGGAAAAAGCTGTCTATATGAAAAAAAAATACACAGAAATAAAATAAAAGAAGAAAAAGGAGGCAGAAAAAAAGATAATCAAGATAGAACATACTATTATAGCCTATGCTAAGGTATTAAAAATAAAAATTATTTATAGTACTAATACATATACTATAAATCTCGAGTATAACTTCTTGTTAGCTATCATTCTATTTACGTAAGCAAATCTGTATTGGCTTTACGTATGTTAATTGACTTGTAAACAATTAAGACGTGACTTGCCCAAAATAGAAAGTAGTACAAGTACTGATCCTTTGTTGGAGGTGAGCCAGAATCTCTACTTTTTTAAAAATGAAAAAAGCTATAGTCATCGTATCAGTTTTGTTGGTCAAAGAATAGAGGAGATTGTTTGCAAAAACTAGTTACGAAGGGAAAGAGTGTTGGAGTATTTGCCCCAGTGCAAAACACTATTTGTTATTTCTTTTTCCTCTCTACTACTTCTTTTCTTCTCCTTTTTTTTTAAAACATTATAATGTAAACTTTCACCCAAAATAATAGTATTATCACCCACTAGGTCTTTCTGCCTCTTATGTAAAGAATACTAGGCTATACAACTCATGCTTCTATTTAATAACTACTTTTTGCTAGGTTTCCTAGAGTTGTAAATTATTTCGTAATAAAAAAATTTTTTGCTCTATAATAGTTTAGATGATCAGTGAAGAGAATGTGTTTTTTTTGATTTGCAATACTTATTAAATTGCAACTTAGTATTTACAAAACTAAGCAATTTACTAGAATACTCAACAAAAAAAATATAAATTAAAAAACTAATTATAAGAAGTACAAACTCTAAGTACTCTAATATCAAAGCCTTCAAAATTAAAATTTTATCAAATAATCTTCTAGTATTATTCATTTTATACAAAAAAATCTGCAAAAATACCTAAGTTCAAAATACTCAAGAAGCAAAGAAACTAAAAAAAATATCTCTTATATGACTAACTGTAAAGAAAATAGTATTGATCTAAATAGTTTACTAAAGTATATTATAATTAAGATTCTTACCAAATACAAAGAAAACAGTATTCAAAATAAATATCTTGTTACTAGTGCTATCATAAAACTACTAAAAACAATCTTAGAAGACAATACTTTATATAATAATCTAGGACTACTACTTTTCAAGATATGATACAAATTAGCTAAATTACAAATGAATATAAAAGGCTACATAATCTAACTACTTATATTTTCTACAAGCTCACAAAAGCTATATACAAAAAACTATAGATTATATAATATTAAAAGGTAGCAACTAAATATAGTACAGCTTTGAGCTGATAGCAAAAATAGACCAAACACAACTGATCACATAAAAAAACTCATGAAGTAATAAAAATGCTAAAAGACACAAAACAACCTTGTATAAAACAAATGCAAAACTTAAAATATGGAATTTAGAATTTAGCATGAACAATATATCACTATTCTTTATTGAAAAAATTATAATTTAAGTAAAGTTTTAGCTCCTCTTGGTTAAGTTTGAGTCATAGATAAATTAGTCTAAATTTTAGTTTTTAGAAGAAAATATGTAATAAGATAGTTTATTAACAATTTATATTTCATATTACTTAAGAGTAAAGGATATGTAGATTATTTTTTATATGAAATTGATTGTATTTTTTTTTATATAATAATTAAAATTTTGCTTCTAATAAAATTTTTTTAATTTTAATTAAATTTATAAATATTTTTTATTATATATAATTTAAAATAATATATTTCTTGTTATAAAATTTTAAAGTCTATTTGGTTTAAAAAAATTATACTTGTATATATCTTAAAAAAACTTAGGTTGACCCAAAAACTTAGGTAATACAAAACTACTCTATTCTGATTAGCTAATTCACGTAAATCTATAATATAAACTTTATAATAAAAAATAATACACAATCTTAAAATTAGTATATTTCAATAAATTTTATATCAATTTTAATAAATTTACTACTGTTAGAATCACAAGAACTTGCTTTACAACTTTACTTAGAAGTATAAAAATATTTATTCAAGAAAATATTTTGTAATATTAAAAATAAAAAAAAGTACCATTAAGTTTATATATAATTTTAAAATAGTACCCTCTACCCTTAAATAAAGAACTGCGACATGATTTCGCTTATATATATATATATATATATATGTATATAAAAAAAAAAAAAAAAGCATTACTATTATTCATACAGGTTTTCAGAATAAAATATAGATTTTAGGGATATAAATTCAGTAAATTCCCTATACAATAAAAATAAGCAGCATAAAAACAATACAATTAAAAATTTAGATATGCAATTAGAGATTGGACCCGTTGAGAAAATCTCTACTCGGGTAACCATATGGGGTCTTTTCCTTGAAAATCAAGTTTGGATCATATGGTTTACTATGTCCCGTAAGGTCATTTTCGAGGCAAAGACCCATATATCAGCAATTTTACCCGGGCCAATCCTTATATGCAATTTATTCTTTCTGCTTCTTAGGTTTCAGACGGACTTTAAGTTCTCTCCAATGATAAGAAACATCGCAAAACATATCCAATTCTTGATCTTTGTTTACAAATTCTATTTCATATCTCATTAAAACTGCTACTAAAATTACTTTAATTTCGATTATTGCCCAAAGCCTTCCCTATAAATACAAAATTGGATGAACAAACTAATTTTAAAATCTATTTTAAGTTAAAAATAATTTTCATAAAATGTTATACAAACCGGACAAGACTTAGCACCTCCACCAAATGCCGAAAATGCTCCTTTAGCATTAGCCACCTTAGCATTCATTGATCGCTTACTACCATCATCCTTCAAAAATCTATCAGGATCAAAAGTTTTTGAATCAATCCAATCGTTTTCATTAAGATTTATTCCTTCATAATTTAGGAAGAATGATTGTTCCTCTTTCCATAGATATCCACCAACTTCTACAGGTTCAGAATTTGATCGTGTTAGTACAGGAAATGTTGACTTTATACGAAGTACTTCTTTTATTAAGGCATCGCAGTATTGAAGTTTTTCTACATCTTCGTAATGTAAATTTAGAGGTGCCGTTGAATGTCCGAATATTAAATCTATTTCTGAAAGAGCTTTAGATTTAACAGAAGGGTATTTACATAAAAAATATATTACTGAGCACATTACAGTCGCAGTCTGTTAAAAAAAATATTATATATTTACCGTAAACGTTTTTGTATGTTACTATAATGTGTTATTGCAAAATAATAACTTAATGAATAATTATTTACCGTTTCGAAGGAACCAAGGAAAATATCTTTAATAATTCCAAAAATTTGATAATTATTTAATGATCGGCTTAATGACTTATATAAAGCATTTTCTGAACAACGTGATGTTTTTGCAGTAAGGAGCAATGTTAGAAAGTCAGACGGTAGTAAAGCATCTTTAGGTAACGAATCTATTTCAACACATCTTTCTTGAATTATTTCATGTAAAAATACATCCAATTCTTTTATACGATTTATTAACATGTTATTAAAATAGTTCACACCAGGAGCATGTCTTATAATAGTTGGAATTGTAACGAACCCTTAAATAATAAAAAAATGAAGATAAATTTATAATCTTTCTTGATTTATGATTATCATAAGTGTTAATGGTAAGTATTTAAAATGCTTACAAATTGTTAATTTAAAAAATGAATTGATATGAGAAATTAATTTCAAAGATCTTTCGCATTTTGAATTTGGAATATGATTCAGATCCAAGCGAATTAGTTGGGTAAACCGATATTCCAGTTGTAGTTGAGATCGCTATATCCGCAGCAAACCTTGTAAACCATTCAGACAAGTTAATCTCTCGCTGATCATTTATCAAAATGTCCCATAATTTAAACATATCTAAAGCTGTTCTGTATGTTTTTTCTGTAATATTTCTCAAAAATGTTTTCGACATTAATGTTTTGACGAAAAATTGGCGGTTAATTTTCCATTCATCTAAATTTCTATTAGCAATTATTCCACTATGTTCATACCCAATTTCGTTAAGCCCAGGATTTGGAGATTCACGATAGAGGAATTTATTACTAAGAGTTACAGAAGA